GCAGGGAGCAGCAGCCGACTGTGTCCGCCGTCTCCCCTTCCTCCTTCTCGTTCCCGGCTCTCAGGGCCAGCTAGAAGGGAGACAGGGAGTCATCCACCCCCATCCCACCTCGATTCCCCCTTTCCAAGGTTGTTAAAGTGGATGTGGACACACAGGGGAAGAGAATCATGGAATGGTTTGGGTTGGAAGGGACTTCAAAAATCATCTCGTTGCAACCCTCTGCCGTGGGCAGGGACACCTTCCACTACTGTGGGTTCCTCATCCCTGGAAGTGTTCAAGACCAGATTGGGTTAAAGCCTCATCCAACCTGGTCTTGAACACTTCCCTGTTCCAGAGCCTCAAGGACAGCTTTCTCAGGGTGGTGTCTCACCAGAACCCTGGTGGAAATCAAACAGCAGCTGCCTCCAGCAGGAGAAACCCTAAAATATCTCCCCTCCAGACAAAGGTTCTTCATCTTCCCAGTGGGGATTTTGCCACCAGACGGAGACACAAGTGCAGGTGAAGCCCAGGAAGGACAGCACAGCTCCTGCTCTGCTCACAACTGCACCCTCAGGGAATAGTGGGAATCACCATCCATGGTCACACCCCATCCGGGCTGGATGGGCACTTGAGCTACCCAGGCTGGACGGGCACTGGAGCAACCTGGTCCAGTGGAAGGTGTCCCTGCCCGTGACAGGAGGTTGGAACTGGATGATCTCGAAGGTCCCTTCCAACCCAAACCATTCCACGATCCCATAATCGCTGCCAAGATTCCTCACATAGAGTACTTGGAATCACCAAAAAAACAACTCCAGGGCGGGGTGGATCAGGCAATTCCCAACTTCCACATGGATGGGGGACCTGGGGACGGGGGTGAGGCTGTGGGTACCTTATCAATGAAGTAGAGGGCCACTGCTCTTTGCCTGTTCTTCATCTCCTTGGATTTCCAATCCGCTCGGTACCGAGCCCGGATTTCATGGACGACGTCCTTCAAGCGCCGAGCAACCTCATACTTCTGCCAGTCCTTTTCCCCCTGGAAAGGGAGGCCAAGACATTCTTCAATCCATGTCCCACCTTTATTCCACCCCTTCCAGTCTAACCCTGCTCTGGGAACACCTCCAGCATCTAAATCCTGCTCCAATCCTGCTGTTTCCTTAGGAAATAAAGGGAGGTCAAGACATTTTTCACTGTGCCCCACCTTTATTCCACCCCTTCCAGTCTAACCCTGTTTTGGAAACACTTCCAGCTTCTAAATTCTGCTCAGAGCTCGTTGTTTTCTCAAGGAAAAATCCACAAAGTGGAAGAACTGGAGCAGAAGCAGCTCATCCAAGGTTTCTGTGCCCTCTGCTGGCTGAGCTGGATTTGGGATCGTGGCCAAGTCGAGGTGTTCTCCATCAGGAGTGCCCAGCGAGGAGCCAAAGTGGTCAAACACTGCATGGCCACGGCCACCACTGCCTGGACACCACCAGGGAGGAACACAACACTCCCTGGGCTTTGCCCAGCTGGGATTCAGTGCCCTCATTTACTTGGAACACTGGAAAAAGCCTTAAATCTCCTTTGCTTTCTTCCCATGGCACTATAGACCATGATCCCACTTTTCCCCATGAGTGAACTCCACCCCATGGACTCTGGTCCCTGTGGACCCTCCCAGTTCCTGCCAGGCTTCCAACAGCCTTCCCTGGACACACACATGAGGAATGTGGCACAGGGAATATTGGAATGTTGGCTCTGCCAGCAGCAATCCTTCCCTGGAATAGGATTAATGCTTAACAACCATCTGTCCTTCTCCTCTCACCACCCAACAACACACAGATTCCTTTAGTTCACTCTGGTTTTTCTTTTGGGAAAGGTGGAAAAAAAACCCGGATTTTTGGTGCTGTGCCACATCTCTGCTTTCCCTGATCTTTCCACCACCATTCCAACCTTCAGCTTGGAGCTGGGGTTCAGCATGATGTACTTCAGGGTGTTCTGGATGTTCTCTGTCCACGAGGCCAACCAGGTCACCGTGTTGTCAAAGCGAACCTCCTTCCACTTGTGACCTTCTGGGGGCTCGGGAATCTTGGAATCCCTGTGGGAAGAGCGGGATTAAAGCCCTGAGACCGTGAAGGAGATGGGGCTTCAGCTTAACTTCAGCGAGCCAAGGACGGTCACCACATCACCACAGAGTCCACCCAAAACTGCTCCACAGCATGGAATTGTTAAGGTTGGAAAAGTCCTTCAAGATCAGGAAGTTCAACCATTAAACCAGCACTTCCAGGTCCACCAATAAACCGTGTCCCCAAGTGCCACATCTACACATCTTTCAAATCCCTTCAGGGCTGGGGACTCCACCATCACCCTGAGCAGCCTTTTCTAGTGTCTGATAACCCTTTCTGGGAAGAGGCTTTCCCTCACATCCAACCTAAATCTCTCTCCTGGGACAACTTAAGTGATAGGACAAGAGGAAATGGTCTCATCTGGGAGAAGAGACCAACCCCCACCTGTCCACCCCTTTCTTTCAGGGAGCTGTAGAGAGAAATAAGGTCCATCCTGAGCCTCCTTTTCTCCAAGCTGACCCCCCCCCAAGCTCCCTCAGCCACTCCTGGTGCTCCAGACCCTTCCCACCATCAGGTCTTTTATCATTTGGATGCTGAAGACAAAGGAGAACTTTCTGGAGGGGAATGTTTTGAATCAAAGTCTTCAAATGGGTGGTTTAAGACCAACCCAACCCATCTAATTTAGCACTTAGAGAAGACTCTTAACCCAGTCACTGCCTTCCTCCCTCCTCCAGGGACGATCCTGGTGCTTCCAGGCAGCGTGAGGGGTCCAAAAAATTAGGAGGGACGGAAATTAGGAGGAGCACAGAGTTGTCCCTTCTTCCAAGAGGCAGCAAGAGAACCACGGGTTGTTTATGGTTGATTTTGGATGAACCAGTGGGAGATGGAGCTGCTTGAGCAGCTTCCTGGCCACTGGAGATCCACAGAGGAATTCTGGAGGTGAATAAAGAGCTCCAGCAAGTCCTCAGGGCATGGAAAGCAGGGATTGCAGGAGATGGTGAAATCCCAGGATCCTGCTCCTCCCGGTCCCAAAACCGGCTCCAGGAGCTCATGGCAACTCACCTGCTGCAGTTGATGACCACATCTTCTGGCATGATCCTCTTCTTCAGCATCCCCATTTTGGGGTGGTCGCCACGGCCACGGAACAGCCCCGGTGGCTCCGTTTTGAAGTTGCCGATCTTCTCGCGGTGCCCATCCAGGATGCAGTAGCCATATTCCTCCTGGATCTTGTCTGCCTCCTCCTTCAGCTTCTGAAAGAAGCACCAGGACACCAAAAAAAAAATAAAAAATCATGGAATGGTTTGAGTTGGAAGGGACCTCTAAATTTATCTCAGTCTTATTCCACCTCCCTGCCCTGGGCAAGGACACCTTCCACTAGCCCAGGTTGCTCCAAGCCCTATCCAACCTGGCCTTGGAGACTTCCAGGGATGGGGCAGCCACAGCTTCTCTGGGCAACTTGTGCCAGTGTCCCACCACCCTCCCAGTAAGGAATTTCTTCCCAGCATCTAATCTAAACCTACTCTCATCCCACAGGATGAGTTTTAACCCCCATGGCTCGTGTTTACCCAACACCACCCCCCTTTCCCTGGAGAAAAGGAAGGCTGGGAAGGCAGAGCTCAGAGGGTGGGAGAAGGAGGCAACTCCATTCCCAAAAGGTGGCTAATCTCCATCCACTCTGCAAACCTTCCCAGTGATGCTGATGGAACAACCCCGAGGGCCACCAGTCCCTCAGCAAGGTCCACCATCCTCTGGATAGAGCAGGACCCAAAACCATG